AAGTACAACTGTACATACCCCGGGAGACCTATGGCGCTCTCTGCTAAGGGCTACGAGCAGGTGCGCGTGTGCGTTGGGGGTCTTGGGGGGGTGCCACCAAGGTTGTACCATTTTCCCAACTGTTAAGCTACCAAAAAGATTAAAAAAAATAATACTAAACTTGTGGGGAACAATGAGTTTCTGAGTATTGGTGATTCTTCTCTTGCAATAGTTTAATAAAAAGGGTGTAAAACCCCCAGCCACCCCACCCCAGGGTTATTTCAAACACTGAAAACCAAGAACAGCTTTACCTGTGTGACAGAATCCCCCCACCCTTCCTGGAGGGCCCCCATCTGCCAGCCCCCACCACCCGCCTGTCCTGCCCCTGGCACCAGGAGCAGCCCAAACCTCTTCCTCAGCATCGCTCCATCACCCACCAGCACCTCTCTCTGGCCCAGCCATGTGGGTAACCCCCTTTAGTAAAAACCCCCATGTACAGGCAATCTGGACCTGGGAAGGAGTTTTCCTCCTTTTCCCCAGTTTTAGGTGGGGGAGGTCAGTGGTTTCAGAGGATTTGGTGTCTATGCTGGAAACCCTTGCTTGGGCTGGGACCCCTTCCCAGGCAACTAATTCCACCTAACATGCCAACCCACACACCAGCCTCCCACCTATTATTTACAAAGAGGCATTAAAACCAAGTGGGGATGGAAATGATGGGGCTCTGACTTAAATCTGGATGGGCTTGCAGACACTCGCCCAAATCCTTTGTGTTTCCTTGTACCTTGGCACCCTTGAAAAAGAAGGAGTGCGGTGGAAGATGTGTCCACTCAAAGGATTTTTCTCCTTTCCAAAGGATGTTCGTGGGTGGTTTGTTTTTTGGTTTGGTTTTTTTTTATTGTAGCATGGTAGAGATTTCTGTGCCTTGACATCCCTGCAGAGGGAGAGGATGGGCTTGGGGCAATAGCTCCATCAGACATCAGGTGGTGGGTGAGAGATGGGCCTGATGCAGCGGTGATGGCATGATGCAGTCCTCAGCTCCCAGCCACCGCAGCAGCAGCCTCCTGCTCCCCAGACTTTCTGTTTCCCAAATGCCCTCCCCGGGGGGCAGCAGGGATCAGAGGATCAGCTCAGTTCCAGACATCAATTTTGCAGCAATCCGAGCATTCGGGAATGGAGGCTAATCCCACTAGTGCTTTTAGTGCTTCACCCCAAGATTTGGAGAGGCTGTGGCCTCCTACCAGCCTCGGGCAGGTGAGGACCCTCTTAACGCCGCAATGAATCCAGCACTGTAGTCCAGCCTGCGGGCATTGGCAAAGGTGAAGCACCACCATTTTCACACAATAAACCCAAAAAATTCAAAGCATACTATTAAAACCCTTTTATAACCCTATGTACACGCACACTGTTGATGCATCATCGACTCCTTTTGCCTTTTTGTTGCCTTTTGAATTTAAAAATCCCCCAGTCCAAGGGGATGCTTCACTAGCCTTTTTTTTTTTTTTTTTTTGGCTTACCAATTTGGAAATTCATCTTCCTTGAGAGAAGCTCTGGCCCTACAGAAACAGCTGGAAAAACTCTAGGAGAACACAACAGGCTTGGAGCTCACCCGCTGAGTGTTACCAGCAGAAAAATCAGGGTCTGGGAGGGCAGCAGGAAACACCTATGTACCTTTTCATTCAGTGGATACTGCATGACAGTGTTAAACAGAAGTAATCCCACGTCATAAATACAACAACCCCAAATGATCCAAAGTTAGGTAGAAGAGAAAGGAAGAAGAGGGGGGGGAAAGAAAAAAAAAGAGAGAAAAAGTCTTAATCCTTTTAATAGTTCTTTTGCTGGGGGTATTTTTTCACCTCTTTAAAAAGATACAGTCAAAAGCTCTCAGACAACAGGAACACGTGGCCCCAGCTCCTGCAACTGCTGCTGCAGTTGTATATGCCACAGGCTGGAGAAATGCTGCAGCACTGGCAGGTTTCAGCAGTCTCCAGCACCACATGGAGCTGGAAAGCGTTGGTGGCCTCCACCAGCAGTGAAAGAGGAGTTTCATGTCTCAGTTGGGCAACTGTTTGAAAAGCGACGGTCATCAAATGGTCTGAAAACCCCCTAAATGCTGGAGAGGTGCTGGCCACGTCTCCTGCCCCTCCGCAGAGTCACATCATGAGCAGTATGTACAATGAAGATGACTTCAATGCTTTTCTTCTTTGTACGATCACGTACCTAAATGCTGAACGTCCATCTGGTTTGGTCTTGCCCTCGGCCAATGCACCCGCGGCTCCATCGTGGGCTGGGGAGGATGGGGAGCCCAAGCCCCCTGGGAAAGGCAGTCACGAATCCCATGGGCACAAGTTCCAGCATCCGCACGCTCGGGTCTTGCCTCCCCGCTTGGTGCTTCAGGAGCGATGCGGAAGGTCATCACCGCTGCGTGTTGCCTTCTACAGGGAGAATGGCATGGTGCAGGCTTCGCGTGTGCTTCGAATCTAGTGTTTCGTGCTCTTCCGTGAAGCTGTCTGGGCTTGCTGCTCCATCTAAAGAACTTCCACAGCTAGAGTTAGGAGACAACATGTCCTGCAGGAGGTCTTCCTGGACTATCCCAGAGTCTTTGTTCACTTTGCCCCTTTGGTTTCCTTCTTCCTCCTGGTCGTTGAGTAGCTTGGCCAGGAAGTTGATGTATTTCATAGCCAGGCGCAAAATCTCATTCTTGCTCAGTTTTTTGTCAGGCGGGTGGGTGGGGATGAGCTTGCGAAGCTCTGCAAAGGCTCCGTTGACGTTCTGCTGTCTCCACCTCTCCCGGCTATTGGTAAAAATGCGACGAACCACTTTCGTATGAGGACCTGTAATTGCAACCATGCAGCATTAAGAGCAGGGCATAACAGGTAATTTATTACTTTACTGAATAGGTCACTATTTCCCAAATTAACACATTTATTTTAGTGACATCAGCAAGGCAGTGAACCGGGAGTGTCCAACTAGCTGGAAGCTAACCTGATGAGCTGAGGTAGCCGTAATTTCTGTTCAATCCACTGGAAGGGAAAAATGGAGTTGTGTCTTTTTAGATGTCTCCTGAGATGCCTAAATTTACCTCTCCAAGGAGGAAGGCTTAGGCCATGACACGTGTGCAGAAGGCTGCTATATTTTTAGGGCATCTCAGCAGCAAAGGTCCTATTAAAAGGTTAGGTTGCAAGATGGTTTTATTTTCCATCCCAAAAGTGTCTTAAGGACATACCATTGGGACAGGAGGAAAAAAGCTTATGCAGAGGCTTTGACAACTCTAAGATCCAGAGATCTTCCCTGATGTAGGCAGGATCCAGAGCTGATAGAGACCATAGGATTGCCTCCAGCCCTCTGGGTGGTTTTTATGAAATGAAGTGGCGGGATTCACCCCATAGCAATGAAGACAGGTAGCAATGTGACCCAGAGAGTGAAAACAGTGTCCTTGCTGGAAGTCTGATCATGGGTGGAGGATGAAGCAGTTTCACAGCTGACCTGAGGACCGCCTGCTCTCTCTGCACATCATGGCGAAAACTCCCTATCTCACAGTAACTGGAGGAGGGACTCTAAATTGCTAGAGGTGTCCATTTGGCTCAGTTACATGTGAACTCCAGTTAAATCCCTGTAATTTTACAGCCATATTCCTGATGGGTCATGTTACACAGGACGGACGCACAAAATGCGTCAAATCTCCTTTCAGATCATCAGGGTAACTCCTGTTGGCACAAGCGAGACATTATCTTGGCACTAGGAGAGACCCAAAAGCATGTCTACCCAAAAGTACTGTACTACAGGAGTAGCAACACTGTAAATCAGGACTGCATGTCCTTGGGTCCATGGAAACCAGTTCATTTAAGGAGACACCACCTTTTATTCCATCCTTTCTATCCTCACCTCCAGGAGACACTGACAGTGGAAGGACACAGCAATCTTATGAAACTATGGGAGAATGACCATGGCAGAAACCCCTATGGGGGTTCCCATCCCTATGGGATGGGAAGCATCACATACAATGAAAATCATCACAAAGTATGAAGCAAAGACTTGCAGATAGCAGTGAGCCATACCCCAAAGGATAGCCTGTGGATATTCCCATCCACACCATCTCTCCCCTGTAGCCCCACTCTGAGACACTTGCCTAAATACTACCTCCCGGGCATGGTGAGCACTTTAAGCTGGCAGCTCTGCCATCACTCAGTGAAACCAGCATCCCAAAGAGCATTTAAACATCATTATTTGTATATAGCAAAACTCTTGGCTGCTTTGACTGTGGCAGAGCAGCCGAACAGATCTGATTTTTGAGGCATCCTAGTCAGGCTGCACCTTGACCTCCACCCGCTATGATGCAAGAAGAGGAATCCCACACTCCAGCTGATTAAACGCCATCATGCTTTCCCCCTTTCCGAGGAAACTGAGCCCCTTCGGGCCAGCACATCACACAAAATACCACCCACCGCAGGGTTTGCATGAGGACACACTCCCAAGCAGCCAGGTTAAAGCTACTGAATTCTCCAGCGTGCAAGCAGCCACACAACTCACTTCTCCCCACAGCATGCTCAGGAGCAGGGAGTCCCCCAAAATCACAAAGAGCCCTGGGGATAAGCTGGGGGATGTCAGAATGAGAAACTCATCTCCAACCTCTAAGATCCCAGTCTGATGCTTTAATAACACCAATTTGCCACTCCCAAACAGCACGTTAATGCCCTTTGTATGAACTAACATGCAAGAGCTCATGGAAGGGGAAGGTTTCTTGTCCCTAATGTGCACAGCCCGCTGTGCCATGGGGTCGTGGGGAAGCTGGGGGGCACTAAGGGGACCTCAAAACCATCAGCCTGCCCTGCGCTGTTAATAAGGCAGTGGAGAAAGTGCTGCAACCTGCTACAACAATACAACAGCCTCAACACTTAAATGCTCTTTCCAGACAAGACAAAGCAACCAGCCTGGAATCCAGAAGGAAATGTAGCTTAAAACCTTTTATTCCCATAAGGGTATGAGAAAAAAAACTTGGATACTGTTTATTTTTAAAACAAAAACAAAAAACCACCAAACCCCTCAAGAGAATTCCTGTCTTCACAGGCTTCAGATATACGTCTCTATTCACTGAAAGGTGCCGACTAAAAGGCATCTATTCATAAAATTTTGAAATCAGAAAAAAAGGTATGTTCATTTTCATCCAGGGGCACCCAAACCAAGCTCCAATATATAACACAAATTCTGACACCACTCAGATTTTTGATTCCTGCATCAATCAAATTAAACATACCTTTTAGAAAGAGATCAGGTTTTCACCAAAATATGTCAAGAAATGGAGAAATTTAAAATGCCCCATAGCTGTGTTATAATAGAAGACATTTATAAAATAAAGAAACTTGCCTCATAATTAATTCAAGCAGCCGGCTGAGAATTTTTGCCTGGATTTTGTTCCAATTGATTGGCTGATGCTTTTTTTAGTTGTAATTGGAGGTCTGAGGAATACTAGTAAAAAGATGAGCTCCCAAAGTTACAGAGTATCCTTGCAGATACTTTTTACATTTTTATCTCCTTTTATATGTATTTTTTAAGAAGACATTCAATGCACCAAACTTTCCCAAAAATGGCTAAAGAAACAGTTGCAAAAAACCCACCGCTCATTTCCTTACAGAGGAAACCAAATACCGAGCACCCAGCAGGACTCTCCTGCCCTTCTGCACCTCCCGAGGGCTGAGGACCTGCAGGAGCGACGGTCGGGTGTGCCGCGGGTGTCACCCGGCAGGTGACCGTCGGAGCGACGAGCAAAGCCCAGCACACAGCACAGGTGCCTCAGCATGGGATGCATGTCCCTACAAATTGCTCCTATTTAGACAGCATCATCTGGTACCTATTTCCCCCCCCCAAAAAACCCAATTCTGAGCCTAGTCGTGGAAATTCACATGAGCCAGAACCTGCAGGATCGGGCCCAATCCTTGCAAAAAGTATCTGCAAGGATATTTTGTAACTTTGGGAGCTCATCTTTTTACTAGTATTCCTCAGACCTCCAATTAGAACTAAAAAAAGCATCAGCCAATCAATTGGAACAAACTGCATTACCTGGCAGGCACATATCCAGAAACTTGGTTGCAACCAAATCTCTCTGTAATCCTTAATATCTAATTTAATAGCGAGTCGAAAGCTTTAGTCAGACACCGTGATTCGATGGACTCTCGCCGTAGCCGCTAAGCCTCTGAATCGAAACCCAGACAAAAAAACCTTCTTGTGCCAGGGGCTGAGACAGCCCCTGCCCCATGGGGCTGCGGTCTGAAAGGACCAGGCAGACGGAGGAGGGCAGGGAGTGGGGAGAGAGGGGCTGATGAACGCAGATAATGCCCTGAGCCCATCTTTTCGTACCGCATTATTTTAGAGTGGTGTGGATTACGATTTGGTCTGATTTTAGATTAGCCGCGTAGAAGGAAAGGGACAACTAGCTAGGAAGACAGCAAATAATTGCCTGGCAATTGAAATACAGCGTTTACAGTCGCTAAAGAGAAAACGCATTTCGATGGATCTCCTTTGCACGGGCTGTTAACTGCAGATAACCGTGTCAGCCTTCCACGCGCAAATTGTTCTTGCAAAGGTCCCTTTGCGTGGGCAGCGCTGCCGCCCGCACGCAGCCTCCCGCAACCCACGCCGGCTGCCGGGGAGCAGGCAGCGGGATCCTGCCCTGCCTTCTCGCTGCCTGCCTGCCTGCCTTTGAAATTATCCTGCTGGTCTGACAGGGATCCCCACACCTGGGATCTCTGCTGGGACACCAGGCTGTCACCCTCCACATCTGCTCTCAGGCTCTGCCACAAGACCAGACACGGGCTATTTCTCCACGGCAGCCTGCAGCATGGCGTGGATATACACTGGCCCACGCTGGAGGCAAGCTGGCAAAGGGACCGGCCACGATCCCGCTGTGACCCCGCAGACCTTAGCGCAGGCTTAGCCCTCTGCTTCCAGGCAGTTTAAAGGCGGGTGGGATCTTTCCGCCCAGGGCCGTGGTCTGCGTTAGGAATGGCTCCTGGCTGAAAGGGTTTGCAACGCAGCAGTCGCTGCAGTGGCCCTGATCCAGCCCCTGCACTTCAACAAGGACTTAAATTTAGTGGCTTCCTTCGGATTTAATCTCTAAGCAATTTGCAGAACAGGGATGTAATTAACCATACGCTGAACTGCTCTGCTGCATGAAAGCAAATCCACCGAGCGCGCTGCCGGTCGTTATTCGGGGTGGATCTGGGCTCTGCTGTACGGAGCCTTACCGGGGGGAGCTACCTTGCCACCACAGGCATCGTATTCGCCTTTGACGATTTGGGGTTTTAATCCCAGCATGTGGCACCGGGCAGCAACTTGCCCCCTTCAGCAGACGGGGAACCCCCCCAAGAGCCAGCGCAGGGGCGAAGCGCTCTCACCGTCGGTGATCTCCATCTCGTAGGGAGAGGGTCTCCTCTTCACCCGGTTGCTGCCGTACATGGAGAAGGAGTCCGGTTCGCCGAAAAACCCGCTGCAAACGAAAGGCAGAGAGGCCGTGAGGACACACCGGCATCCCCCCGGCACGGCACGGCACGGCACGGCA